CAACAACAGCAACAGCATCAACAGCAACAATAGCAACAATAACACCAACAACACTCACCACCATCTATCACGATCTCACAATCATTCCAGAAGAGAGAGTGAGTACAGCCAGAACAACAACAATAGCAATAATAACAACAACAGTAACAATAATAATAGCAACGTAAGCCATAATAATAACAACAATAATAACAACAACAGTAGTAGTAGCAGCAGCAGCTACCTGTCGCCGAAATTCAAATACACGGATTATTTGAAGTCTTCATCGTCAGCAACGCCATCGTCGTCCTCGTCGTCGTCATTATTCTTCTCAAATTATCATCACCCTCATCACCATCATCATCATCATCATTTTTTCAGCCCGCTGATTGGCCAGAAAAGTTACCAGTTTTCAACCAATAACATGAACAACAACAACAACAACAACGTTAGTAACATTCTCGGCAATGATAATATGTGTAACGTCGTTTTGTCACCAAACAACAACAGCAGTAGCAACAATAACAACAACAACAACAGTGGTGGTTCACTCATGTTTTGCGAAAGTTTAAAGGATATAAACGCATGCCCCCAGCAACACAGCAACAAGTACGGCAAGTCCGTTGATGAATTGAAATCGCAACAACTTCCGACAAAACAACAACAGAAACTTACAAAAGATCATATATCGAGTTCGGATGACGATCAGGAAAACAACAACAACAACAACAACAACAACAGTATTGACAACAACGCCAACAATTTAAACATCGTCAACAACAACAACGATGACGACGACGACGATTCGTCAACAGCAACATCAACAGCGGCGACAACCAATGACAAGCAAGCGTTTGCTCACGTGACATTCAACTGCACTTCCGCTCTACAGTTTCCATCCAATCCACTCTCACTTTCCTGTCAATATTTTGGCGCCCAAAAATATTCTCCAATCACACACGGGGGTTCGTTAAACCCTTTCGACACCCAGTTCACTTCGTATCCTTATCACCCGCATTACGCCCCCTCAAGTATCTCCCCCTCGCCGTCCACTACTCCCTCAAACCTTCACTACGGATCGGCATCGTTCGATCCGACATTCATGAGCTACGGTTTTGGCAGACCGAGTGCCAATCCCCCTCAATTCATAAGTCCCAATCCTGGTTCCTACATTTCCTGCTCCTATCCCGACACGATAGGGATGTACCAGAATCATGCCACTGGTCACTTGGCATCACATTTCGCTGGTGCAATCTAGCGACTGGGACTGAAGAATGTTTGTCTGCTTGCTCGGTCTGCGGCCGTTGTTACTTCACTTCATAACTTACTCGATGATTGATCTATTCATTGAGTTTTCTGTATCGTTCGTTGTTTGTTTGTTGTCAGTGTGCACATAATTTAGTGGGAAGAGTGTTTATATAGTTTGTATGTGCGTGTGTGCGTGTGTGTATGCGTGTGTGTGCGTGTGAGTATGTGTGTATGCGTGTGCGTGTGCGCGTGTGTGAGTGAGTGTACGACGTCTGGACGACGATACATTAATTGATGAA